GAAAAAAAAATACAGGGTGTTTATAAAGTCCTTGTGCAACTTTAAATTTTAATGACTTTGGATTGATGAACGTGATTGAACAAACTGTGAACGGCCTTGTTTTTTTTTTACATACTAAGTATACATTTTTATGCCTCTACAAAACCGCCATATTTTGTGATAAATCATTTAATTCGATTTTCCAAAAGCTTAAAAACATTTTCTAGTTGTTGCAGAGTGATTTCATGAATTGCATTTTGTGATCCTGACTAAAAGTTCGTCCTAAGAATGTTGTTTTTATGAGAAAACTACACTTTTAACGTATACAGTATATATACGTTGCACAAGGACTTTATAAACACCCTGTACTTACCCCATCCAGTCTGGTTCCCATTTGAACCATGCCACGTCTATAATTGCCAGGAGTCTTCCAGGACTGTTTAACGTGTTAAGTGAACGTTTTGGGGAATTAGAGTGTCTTCCTCTACGTTATCTGTTGGAAAGGATCAGGTATCGCCAGGGCCGCCCAAAATGTGAATGTATCGGAGGCAATCTGCCATGGGGCTCGCGTACCAAAGGCCCCCAAGGGGGCCTCCAAAGGGCATCAAGGGGCCTCCGGTTTAGTTTTGCCCCCGGTTCCTGGAAACCTCTGGGTGACCTTGGGTATCGCATACTGGAGACATATTACAAATCACTTCCTGTGGCATCTACGAAGGCTATATAGACGCCATTTCGCTTCATTAGTGGAAACCTTGTTTTTTCGAAAAATAGAGAAAGATGACTTGCTCACATATTGGTCATACGTTGGCTGCTGCACTAGCGGGGCTTACATTGGCACCCACTATGATGGTGGCTCACACTCACCCACTCGGAGCCTAAGTGGGCCCAACGTGGAGTGCCGTCTGGTTACTAGCCTGAGAGGAATATTGCGTATTCGGTATCTCTCCATGGATATGACCAACAATGGAGTGTCTCCATGTCGGTTGCCTAAGTTCAGTTGAAAACCCTGAAATTCTTCATGCAAACCAATTATGGTAGCTAAAAACTGGTGGAAAATGCCTCTAACTCGGATATCTTGCGATTTGCACTTTTGCAAGAATGCATCGCAGCTGTGCATAACAGTCGAAGGTGTCCTTGGATTGGACGTCGTTTGCAGTTCATCAGCGTCGAGATCTCTGGATGTTGCTCGCACACATTCCAGATCTGAAACGCGTAGCCAAAATGTAATTCGAAAATCTATCACTTGAACGCATATTAATACGTTCAAGTTCCCATCATCCTCAAAAACGGGTTATCAAACCTCTCTCTCGTTTCAACCTGTTGCTAAATGTGTCGAGCAGAGGATGGGGGTCAAAGTTCGCGAGGGAGAACGACCGTAGCAACCGTTTCACAGACTCATTCTTCCTCAGAGCAGAGAGAAGAGAAACCCCAGCAAATAAGTTTTTTTATTGTAAGTTTTAATTGTAAGATGTAAAGACTTGGTTTTTAATTTTGCATTACTATTCAGGATAAAAAAAAATGATCTAAGAATATTCCTTCTCCAATGTGAACATGAAAATGAGAGCATGAAAAATGGAATGATATAAATTATTCCATTTTTCTTGCCACAAGTAAGACTGGACTCCTATCCCAAAACATAATTTAGCTGATATTCCCATACACTAAAAAAAAATATTGTTCGTACTAGAACTTTTAAATGATTGCACGCCTTCAAAGCGGTTACAGGTGCTCGAGCAACCATTTGAAATGACTTCAAGTTCGCATTCAAACCCTTTTATACTCACGTTAAAAAATATATCATTTCTATATACAGGATGTACATATATTCTGGTAACAACTTTGAAAACGTATTGTGAAACACCTGGTGATCGTAGAATATCCATACAAAACAAAAACGCAACTTGGATATCACCATTTTTTCTCCTGCCGTCACTGTAGTTCATACTGCAGCCGCCGCGGCGCTAGATGCAATAGTGTTCAAAATGGCGACCCCCATAAGGAAGGCACAATCCCATTCGGCATAACAACATTATGTTAACATTAAGAAAAGGTTGAAACATTAAGACTTGGTTGAAGTTGAGAATTCGACGAAGAAGCAACATCAATGAAATGTTAGCAATTCGTAATTAACCGTATTTTCAGCATATGGCGACTACTCGTGGATAAGCGAAGTCGTTCGGGGGCTATTAAGAGCAAATTCGTTTTTCATCACAGTCTCACTGTTGTTCCAACGTGGAGTTATCCACATCATATCAACCGCCGATTCAGCGATTCTTACCTTGGTACCCTGAAATAAACAGTACCTTGTATATTTCATATACAGGGTAGTACCCGATCTCTTCCCATGTACAACTTAAGGGAAGGCCTAGGAATTTCTAAATAGACCTGTTTATGGAGGTAACCCGGCAGAAGGAAATTCGAAGTATTTCTGGCCAGTGGGTCCGAGAGGACATGCTGAATTTTCTCAAATCACGTGGTACATGCGAGGGGTGATCAAAATTTTCTGGGATTGAATTTTCTATGGAGCTGTGGTGACTCTTTCCGACTACTGATGGATATATCCTTCAAGTAGTCCTCTTCGGCATCTACACAAATTTTCCAGCGTTTCTTCAGCCGCCGGAATAATTGATGACACGCGTCTTTAGGAATCACCAGCAGCACTAGTGGCGCGTTCGTAACGCTGCTTTAAATGTCCTGAAATTTCCCTCATTTTCCAATTTCGGAGGGTTCTGACCTATCTCGAAATCCCCGTTCTTCGTAAACCACCCAACTTGCCCGACCTAGCTCATAGGATTTTCTTCTTTTTTTTTCCTAAGCTAAAGAGTGTGCCGAAATGAAGATTTCAGGCATTCAAGGCAAAATTGTAAACGCGTAGCGAGCACTGCTGGTGATTCCAAATTTTAAGTGTCAGCAATGTTTCCAGCAGCAGAAGAAACGCCAGAAAATTTGTGTAGATGCCGAAGAGGACTAGTTTGAAATATCCATCAGTAATTGGAAAGAGACAGCACAGCGTCATAAAAAATTCAATCCCGTAAATTTTGTATACCCCTCGTACACTTACTCGGGCTCTTTCAATAAGGATGGAGTATGAAAACATGCTCGCGGGATTGTTCTCTTCTGCTGGACAGAAAGAGTTGAGTCACGTAAGTACTCAACTCAAATTCTAATCCAGTAAAGGAAATATAACCTCTGAGGGTCCTCTTCGTGGGATGTACCGTACAACCATGTCCTCCTTCTTGCTTGTCTTTCATCCGGAAACTGACTCAGTTCTGGTAGTTGCCCTTTTCTCTTGTGACAGCACCGGCTATCAGATTCTCCTAGGAATTGAAATGCCTGACAGAACTCCTAACGACGATTCATTCTCCCAACGCACAATACCTCAGGAGTTTTGTAGTTTGATATGAAGACAACGTATTTCATTCTCGCAGGTCTTCGGCGGTTCCTCTGCCTCTCAGTTTCGGCATCCTGCCTTACTTGACGCTCCTCTTACTTTTCAATTTTCTCGCATGTCTCTGTGCCTCTCGGCATCAGCATTTCCACCTTTCTTGACACTCTTCCTCTGTTTCTCTTTGTCGTGCTCGTTTTCGTTCAGCTTCTAAATTAAAGTCGCGCAAGACGTTGATCTTCGACCTAATTTTTTCTTTTGGTCATGGTGCTCGCGAATACAGGGTGTTCCAGAATTGATTGAACAAAGGGGGTTTCGTAACCGGGCTGCTCTGACTTAATTGCTAGTTGGATGAATCCTGGAAGAGGAAGTTCTTTGAACATGTTGGTTTAGCTTCGGGTTATTCAAGTCAAGTCCTTTATGAAAGTTCAGGGAGCGCATAATTGGAGCTGCTTTGATCACTATAGATTTCGGTTATTTAAATAGTCAATAGAAGGACGTTCATGGCACGTTCGCAGTACCTTAAATGAAACGTTCATTGAACGTTCATTCATCACTCTGGTGCTACTCAGGTTAACTTGATATCTGATGTTTCTACTCTATTCCACAGACATTCCTGCTCAATTTCGATGTGTCATCTGCCTCTTAAGTCAAGTAGAAGTCGTCTACTACCCCTGCCGCCACATGGTGACATGCAGCTCGTGCGACAGTGCAATCCGAGAAGTTCTCCTGAAAACGTGTACAATTTTGCTCCGAATCCGAAATTTTCAAAGCCTTATTCATCAAATGGAGTATAAAGTGAGTATCCTGAATAAATACTTCTTTTTTCTAACCTAACCTGAGAACTTTCTTAAGCCCTTTAACTCAAGACGCAAAACTTTTTAAATAAAAATTAAAATGAAATATACTTTGCTTTCAGATAAAGAAAGAAACTGGAAAAACGACAAATGATGGAATTTCTTGTTTTACAGCTGGAATGAAGGAGATCTCGAGAAGGGCTGGAAGAGAATAGGAATCTCTGGCTCAGGGTCTCACAATTCGTCGTCGCAATCGAACTAATGTTCTTCGCAATGACAGGACAATTGCAACGGCTTTCCAGGACCTCCAAAGAAATCGGTTGATTACTTAAAATTGATTACGAATCATTATCGTAACAAGTACCTACAGGAGTGGTTTACTTACTTAAACGATTCCCACTGAACCGGTAAAACGGTAATAGTACTACGTGAAAGAAGGATCCAACTGTCACATGCTTATAGAAACGGCGACGGCTGTATGTCTGGATGGAATTCCAGTTCTTGTCGCAGGTGCAGGTTAGTTTCAGACTTTATCACGCACTCAGACAAGCAAAAGTAATGCAATACACTTTCCTCTCGTCTATACTATCTATTGGATAAAACAAGAAAAAACGTCCAATTCAATTAGTAATAAAACGAAAAAAAATTTCCTATCTGCTTCATGGGGACGAAGGAAGTCTTAAATTTTGTCAATGTTCGTACCAAAAATCATGAAGCAAGAGCAAGCAAAACAAGGGTTTTATGATGGACTCTAATGGTGGATGTGCTCGCCACACCCACGGCAGAAAGGTGAAGGACGATCACTCTCATTGACCAGAAGTTCAAGCAGGGAGGACCAGATGGTGGTCAGCTATGCTAGTGCCCCAAACTCCCCTCCTCCCACCAGTCCGCACCCGCTTGTCTTTGACACTTTATCTCGTTTCTGCCCCCCTGCCCTCTCCCTGTTCGGGAATATAAATCATTTGATTTTTTTTTTTTGCACCTCGAGCTGCTTAAGTGTAGTTATCCAATTTGGCTTCAACTTTTTGCATTGTAAACTTCAATTGCTACTTCAATTATCATTTTCCTCTCAATGCTTATTATTTTTTTCTGCACAGCGCAAGTTCCAGAGGGACTTCTGCTTCCTCCTGAAGCAGTTGGAGAACAAGTCCCTGCTCTCGTCGCTACCGTTGCTGCTCCCAGAGGTCAGTTCAGGATGGCACTGTAGGAATGTATATGCTACATCAGTGTGTGAGAGGTACATCAATGCTTTATGTATTCCTTTTTTTGCAGGGCCACAAGAGCTACCTCAGTTAGGAGAACAAGCTGCTGCTGCTGTTCAAGGAGGTAAGTGCCTGAAAAAGGCAAAGGAGGAGTAAAATAATGCGTATGCTGTAATGAGCTACACCAATGACTTTCGCATTCCCTTTTCTAGGACCACAAGAGCCACCTCTACCTGAAGCAGAACAAGCTGCCGCTGCTGCTGCTGTTCAAGGAGGTAAGTGCTTGAAAAAGGCAAGAGAGTAGTAAAATAATGAGCTTGCTGTATCAATATGCGTGAGCTACATCAAGGCCTTTTGCAGGACCACAAGAGCTACCTCTGCCTGAAGCAGAAGAAGCTGCTGCTGCTGCTGCTGCTGCTGCTGCTGCTGCTGCTCCTGCTCCTCCTCCTCCTCCAGTTCCAAGTGGTAAGCTCTTATGGGAGGATTTTTTTTTTTGGTTAAGAAACTACATACAGATGTAGCAAAACAATGATCAACGACATTTAATCCAAATATTTTCGCTCACAACAGAGCTATTTTCGAGAAAGATATACTTTACATACCTTGTATATGAATGTTCAACTGAAATTGCAATTCAACATGCAAATGTATTGTGCCATACCATCAGCAATTATTGAAAAGAAGTTAGATATTGAGAATGTACAATAGCTTCAGCTGATAGTGGAGTGGAGGGTACACTCCAGTGCTGTCCTTTCGAAGTAGCCGCTTTAGCGAGTCAACACCTGATACCGCTGGAAATAGTCCACAATATTTCTCGCACGGTGCCCGATCTATACAGGCACCACAGAGGACCACAACCGACTTTTGCATTCTTCAACAAGTCGGTCTAAAGACGTAACCATCCCCAGGGTGTCTCCAGAAAATTCAGGCTCAGGGGATGTAGGGAGGATGGTTCAACTTCCAACTTGACTCCATGTGAAGGCACTTGGATGAGCATCAAAAAGTGCATGTTATTGGACTCTCAAACGGAAACTCAGTCTGGGGCGGTTAGAGATCGCATTAGATGGAAGTTTCTACACTCCGTATCTATTTCAATACGCTATGTCGAAGCAGGAAAAGAACTGCTGCCCCGATAGATATATCGGGAACAGTTCTGTTCTTGTAAAGGAATTTTAATTCCCATAAGGGTTTGGGAGTACTGTCCCTCTACATGAGGGAAGGTAGTACTTCCAACGAAACTAAGAAAAGTTCAGCTACGGAGATGGCCTCTGGCCCCTGTTTCGGAAGCAGGGCTGTACTTTGGTTTAATGCAATTAAAATGATGAAATGACAGTTTTCAGGATTTTAATTGCTAGTTGGATAAATCCTGGAAGAGGAAGTTCTTTGAACATGTTGGTTTTGCTTCGGGTTATTCAAGTCAAGTCCTTTATGAAAATTCAGGGAGCGCATAATTGGAACTGCTTTGATCGCTCTAGATTTCGGTTATTTAAATAGTCAATAGAAGGACGTTCATGGCACGTTCCCAGTACCTTAAATGAAACGTTCATTCATCACTCTGGTGTTACTCAGGTTAACTTGATATCTGATGTTTCTACTCTATTCCACAGACATTCCTGCTCAATTTCGATGTGTCATCTGCCTCTTGAGTCAAGTAGAAGTCGTCTACTACCCCTGCCGCCACATGGTGACATGCAGCTCGTGCGACAGACGTCTAGAGAGATTTACCGTTGGTTGTCCGACCTGTCGGGGAAGGATCGCTCGACGACTAACGGTGTTTCTCCCCTGACGCCTCTTTCTTCCCGCCTCTCATTGTCATTTTATTTCCCTGCTGTATTAATTCACTCATTGACACATTATGTAGTATGAATTGACCTATATATGAATTGACAATATATGACATGATGAATGATATAAAACTTCGATTTGATATATTTCTTTTAGAGCTTCTAGGACAAGTCCAAATAAAGCTCTCATAATCTGCGATAAAAGGTGAAAATATGACTTGGGAAATACGGAAACGAAAATCGATGTCCAATCTTAGTGGCTGGCACTGGTTCACCGACCCTTTCAAATGTCATCAAATTGGCTTACCATATGTAAAATGGGGACGTTTTTAGGCGGCATACTCTGATTGAGTTACATCTGAAGTAACTTACTTGGATTGCTCTGACGAATGCGATTTTCGTGCGAAAGTCGGCGACCATTGGCGGCTCCGCGTTTGAACCCGTGGGGGGGGGGGATGTTGGGACGCAAAAATAGCTCCTTGCTACCCAAGCGGGTCGCCTCGTCTGCTGTCGTTTTTGGACAATGCTTATAGATGGACCTTGACATGATGAAGGATGATGATCAAAGGCAGGAATGACGGGAATGATATAAGGATCCATCAGAATCTATTTTTCCTTAAATCTGGAGCAGGTTATAAGAGAAAGAGAATAAAAGAAAAAGTTTGAATTCGAGAATGGAGGGAAGGCGTGAGGATGCCTTTTCGTAGCGGCTCTGCTGAGGCCTTTAGCATTCCATGACGAGGCTGAGCTGTTCAGCGCTCCTGTGGTTCGTTATGTTCCGCAGACGAATCGCCCACGAATGACGTCAGAAGAAAAGATGTGTCATTTTTTGCCAACAGGCTAGAGAAAAAGACAACCCCCCCCCGGGAGAAATGACGGATGACGATGCGTGACACCAACACAGATTTCGTTGCATTACACGGATTAATCCGAGGCCGATAAGAACTTTTTAGGAACCTGGGAAATTAACTTAGGACTTAAAAAATAGAAAATATTTTCCTTTCCGCATATGAGCTCTAGGTGTCTGCGCGATGAACATTTCTCACTAATGCATCCATATGAATCCCCCAAACATAATGAAGTCAGTGTATCATATTTGAAGTAATCTGCTTTCCTTATGGAAATGGTTCTATTATTACTAGAGAGATGGGCAGAAGTTCATTTCACCTCCTGTGTGTGGATATTCTAAAATAACATCAGGAAAATAAATTTCCCACTCAGGTTAAAATCAGTTTTAAAAATAATATTCGGAGTCCTGAGTAATCTATGGGAAAGAGGAGGTCTCTGCGGTTCTGGATAGGATTCAGCTGTCATAGACGGGATTTAGCTCGTTTTGCATAAGTTGCGAATGAATTAATGCATCTTAGAAATATCCTACCTAAATTCGAGGTACCTAATGGACTTTTCAAAGAGAAAGTAAATGAGAAAGTGCATAAGTGCAAGCTCCAAATAATTTTTTTTTGGGGGGGGGGGGCCTATCCTCCCCTAGGAGCCGCTACTGATCCTAAATTGTCCTGACACCTTACTAACTTTCAATTTCTTCTTACACAGGAAATATTAATTAGATTGGCGTAGGAGGCTATCGGAAAAGACCTCAGTTGCCCTGAAACAGGTAGGGTGCATGCCTCTCCAAGCGAGCATATTAGCAAGTCCGTAGCCGTTAGTTACATCTATGTTGTAGGGAAACTACCAATAGTTAGGAATTCAATGAGTAGATGTCGCCCGAATTCGGGGCACTATTAATTTTTGATGTTACGTGATTCGATGCTAAGGGGTTTTGGTGCTACGTGATTCGATGCTGGGAGAGTTGGTGCTACATGATTTGATGCTGGGAGGCAACCACGATGCACTAAACTACGATCCCCTCAAACCAAGTTGCACTAAACTACGACTCCTCAAAACCACGATGCACTAAGCTCCGTTGCTTCAAAACTACGTTACACAAAAGCTAGGTTTTTAAAAGTACCTCATGTGAGAACTTCCAGTGTTTTCGATGCTACGTGATTCGTTCCTACATGATTCGATGCTACGTGATATCCGGCTTCAGATCAAATTTGGCCCTACGAGATTGGGTGCTCCGTGTAAATTTTCTACCTCATGTGAGAACTTCCAGTGTTTTCGATGCTACGTGATTCGTTCCTACATGATTCGATGCTACGTGATATCCGGCTTCAGATCAAATTTGGCCCTACGAGATTGGGTGCTCCGTGTTTTCTACGCTACGTGTTTTTACTCAAAGGGAGCGCCAGTTTTTGGTCCTACATGTTTTTGGCGCTATGAGATTTGGTGCTCCGTGGCACTCCCCCAAATCACCCCATGCCATTCATTGAATTCTATTTGCATTTCCCAACCGACTGAACATATCATACGATAAGCTGAGAGAATCGTGCCAACCCAGTCTCCAGGTATACCGTGCTGCTTTAGATTAGGCTCATAACTTCGCACCGGTCACCAAAGCACATTCGACGGCTACTAGAATTAAACTTACGATGAGGCATATGGATCTCTGGGTTTTTACTGCACTAAACTAAGCTCCGCCCGCATGCGTGACTCTCAGGAAAAGGCCTAGGCAGTAGGTAGTGCCCCCACTGAATGGAGTTGGAGTAACTTATGACGTCAGTGGCGAGTCGGTAGGGAAACCGCATTCGATGAACTCTGGAAACTCCGTTGTTTCTCGTCTCCGAACTTGCCAGTTGAAAGACAAAGGGAAATAAATAGAGGCATACATGGTCTCTAATAAATTCTCTGGTTCAAACTCTCGCACATAAAGGACTTATCAGTGAAAATCACATGCCTGAACACGAAAGACTAGTTTTCGTTCTGACGGAAACTAAGAATTTATTTAAATAACCGGAAGGGAGAAGACGGCTCACTTCGCTCGCCTGCGTTTCCTTTCCGGAAAATTCAGATTTGTTGCCTTGAGGTCGCTGGAAGAAAAGTTTTTCCTACACTGTTGAGGTGACGTCAGGTTGTGATCAAGGTGTATTAGGCTACTACACTAAGGAGATAAGAGCCTCTTCAAACAACACAGTCCAGTTGGTGATCGAGGAATGAACCTGAGCCTTAGACCGAGGGTGTCCAAAGTTTCTGAGTGGTGAGCTACATTGGAGTGGATTGGCCAATCAAAAATGTAAGAAGTAACAAAAAACTACAGCAGGTAATCTTCACCTGCTTTCAAATTGGTGTCTTTGAAGTAGGGTCAATGTCCTCCTCCCTCCCCCTTTGTCCACCTAATACTGTACTCACACTCCCTGAACTTCAAAGGGCTCCCAGCTTAGTAAGCCAAATTGTGCTGCTTATTAGACATAAGGAGTAACCCCCCAATAATGATAAACGTTCTACTGGTCATAAGTTATTAGAAGTGTTCCAGTTATGCAGTCCCATAAACATCAAGCAGCTTGAGACAGCTATTTAGAGGCTTGCGTATGAGTTTCAAAATTAAAAACAAATCGGTTTAACAAGGAATGTCAACATTTGATGCGATAAAGCTCATGCTTTATTCCAAGGCCCTGGGTCCATCAAATTCACAATCAAGCCATACTTATCTATAGTGTTCCATTGTGCAAAAAACATCATGACCTTGTTACAATGTGGGGGGGGATGTTGCGACGCAAAAATAGCTCCTTGCTACCCAAGCGGGTCGCCTCGTCTGCTGTCGTTTTTGGACAATGCTTATAGATAGACCTTGACATGATGAAGGATGATGATCAAAGGCAGGAATGACGGGAATGATATAAGGATCCATCAGAATCCATTTTTCCTTAAATCTGGAGCAGGTTTTAAGAGAAAGAGAATGAAAGAAAAAGTTTGAATTCGAGAATGGAGGGAAGGCATGAGGATGCCTTTTCATAGCGGCTCTGCTGAGGCCTTTAGCATTCCATGACGAGGCTAAGCTGTTCAGCGCTCCTGTGGTTCGTTATATTCCGCAGACAGCAGCTCGCCCACGAATGACGTCAGAAGAAAAATGTGTCATTTTTTGCCAACAGGTGTAAGAGGCTAGAGAAATAACGGATGACGATGCGTGACACCAACACAGATTTCGTTGCATTACACGGATTAATCGGAGGCCGATAACTTTTTAGGAACCTGGGAAATTATTTTCCCAGGTTCATGAGGACTTAAAAAATAGAAAATATTTTCCTTTCCGCATATGAGCTCTAGGTGTCTGCGCGTGCGCAATGAACATTTCTCACTAATGCATCCATATGAATCCCCCAAACATAATGAAGTCAGTGTATCATACTTGAAGTAATCTGCTTTCCTTATGGAAATGGTTCTATTATTACAAGAGAGATGGGCAGAAGTTCATTTCACCTCCTGTGTGTGGATATTCAGGAAAATAAATTTCCCACTCAGGTTAAAATCAGTTTTAAAAATAATATTCGGAGTCCTGAGTAATCGATGGGAAAGAGGAGGTCTCTGCGGTTCTGGATAGGATTCAGCTGTCACAGACGGGATTTAGCTCGTTTTGTATAAGTTGCGAATGAATTAATGCATCTTAATATCCTACCTAAATTCGAGGAACCTAATGGACTTTTCAAAGAGAAAGTAAATGAGAAAGTGCAGAAGTGCAAGCTCCAAATAATTTTTTGGGGGGAGGGGGGGGCCTATCCTCCCCTAGGAGCCGCTACTGATCCTAAATTGTCCTGACACCTTACTAACTTTCAATTTCTTCTTACACAGGAAATATTAATTAGATTGGCGTAGGAGGTTATCGGAAAATACCTCAGTTGCCCTGAAACAGGTAGAGTGCATGCCTCTCCAAGCGAGCATATTAGCATGTCCGTAGCCGTTAGTTACATCTATGTTGTAGGGAAACTACCAATAGTTAGGAATGCAATGAGTAGATGTCGCCCGAATTCGGGGTACTATTAATTTTTTATGTTACGTGATTCGATGCTGGGAGAGTTGGTGCTACGTGATTCGATGCTGGGAGAGTTGGTGCTACGTGATTTGATGCTAGGGGAGTTTGGTTCAACGTGATTTGATGCTGAGGAGTTTTGGTGCTACGTGATTCGAGGCAACGAAGTTTTGATGCAATGTGTTTTCGATCCAAAAATTTTCTAAATTTTCTACCTCATGTGAGAACTTCCAGTGTTTTCGATGCTACGTGATTCGTTCCTACATGATTCGATGCTACGTGATATCCGGCTTCAGATCAAATTTGGCCCTACGAGATTGGGTGCTCCGTGGCACTCTCGTATAGATGCCCCCTGGTCTGCCACTGCCTATACAGTTTCTTCTAGGAGATAGGAACTGGAGGGTTTCAGCTTTCCAGCACTTGCTTTTTACCACAGAATGGAGAAGTGCACAGAACATTCAGCGATTCTGTTAGACAGGACGATTCACTGAAGAGGGTAACCGAATGCCAAACGGACTAGGTACAACATTCGTGCCACGCTTCATCCCCTTCATCACACATAGGAATTCACAATTCACGGCGTAATGAGGACAAAATTCCTGACCCCTCTTTACATAAATGGACTCGGACAGATTGTGGAAATATTAATACAACAAAGAAAAACACTCCTAAAAGCCCCCCCCCCCCGGGCTTCGTGCGGCACATGTATGAGATTCATTTCTGTCGAAGCTAAAACGAATGCCCATAGAAAAAGCACTTTACTTTCCAAAATAGATGTCTCGTCATACGCATCTGTAAAAACCTTTTTTTTTTAATGGAATGCGTAAAAGATCTACTTACATGCCATACGCCTGAAATTTTCTTGATTTTCTCAGGATATGGAGGTTTCATTCCTTATTTTCCTGCTGATGGCTCTCCAAGCAAGGATGTAGAAGACGGTGTAGTCATGTCATTATTTCAGTTCAACAGAAGTCAGTGAAGACGCCGAGAAAAGAGGACCTCACAGACTTCCATTAAAAAAAGTATAAGAAAAAATTGAATAATTGGAACTAGTAGCCTTCAAAAACATCATACAGCATATAGTAACCTGGTGAATTCCCTCTCTCGTAGAAATTTCAGGTGATGTGACTACTGATCAGCGAGCTCATCAAGGCATCTTCGTCGTTAAAAGCGAAATGAACTCCTTCAATTTCGATGGTCAACCGCGAAATCCAAGAACTGATAAGAAATCAATAGCAGCAAAGATAGAGGGAAGAGAAACTTTACCCTTAGAGAAGGGGATTCATGAGAAAAAATATCATTAAAGAAAACTTTCAATGAAGTCTCCCAGAGCATTTAAAATCTTGCAAATAAAGCTTTGGAAGGCGTCCACACCACAAAAGTCGACTTGCAAAGAAAAATTGCATAGAAAACTTTCTGGTTTGGAAGAGCCCTTATCAATAAGACTGAAATCCGAACGCATTTTTTTTTAAATCGGATTGTTCTTAGTGAGAAAGAGTTCTATTTTTCTTTAAGTGATCAGAAACAAAAATGTTTGACTCAAATAGCATGACAGCACCATACGCTATCATAAAAAAGGCGATGATGCACTTCCAAGGATATTTTCGTCTATAGTGTGGCAATGTCAAAGCGATAAAACTACATCCGTATTCGTATCTACCCCACTTTCAATCACAAAGTATGTGGTCGTAATTCAACAATGTCAACGGATGTGGTCATAATTCAACAATGACAATGGATATGGTCGTAATTCTTGCTGCCATCCTGAAGCAGGCAACAAGGGAAGCAGCAGATATGATAGCTAACGATCGTTCCTCCGGAGATTGCGCCAGCTTGTTGTGTTCGGGGAGTCAGTCTCATGATCTCAACATGCTTTCATGAGCATCGCTACTTGACATCAGCAAATTGATTCACGGACGGAGGCAAAATGGACATCGTTGTTTTATAATTTATATAATTCTTCTGAACTGGACAGAGTCATACAAGAGAATTGGAGAGATGTGTCGCAACTGAGTTGCAAGGAGTCCCGCATTAAAATGCGCTGGGTCCGCAGAGACGTTCTTCCCTTCTGTTTAAATCATTTGCACGAGAGGGCGCAATTGTGCGCAATGGATTATATCAGAGAAAGACGAGAGTCCAGTAGAGAAGGCAGAAAATGACGAAGCAGATGGGGAAGACGATTCGGCTTTTCTCGTCGATCCAGATAGCTATTTCTTGAGGTGTCATATGCTTGAACTCCCTGTTGACTTCCTTCTTTTCCTTCTCCTCTCGCGCCCGACGCCGTTTCTCCTTGATCCAGTCCACCGACAATACGCTCATCTATCAACAAGGTGAACCACGTTTAATCGAATGGAGGACAAATACGGAATCGCTTTGTGGCAGTTCTATGGAATTTTGTTCGGACTTGCATTCGCTCGTGGAGGCATGAAAAGGTCTCGAATTGTTTATCTTCGGTTACTTTTAAAGAGGAGAAATCAAGGGTATGCCTAACAGAATTTCGAATGCGTTATTTGAAGCTATTTGACCCGATCTTTTCATGCATACCTTTCCCTCTCCCTACCAAACCTTACCCTCACTTACTTGTAGGGCTGTCACGATAGGTCGATGCATCGATACCGCTATCGATAGTTGGAGATATCGATAGGTTTTTCGACCATCGCGATGCATCGGCAAAAGATTTTAAAGGGGAAATATCCCATTGGATTGAGGCGAGTACAGTTCAATACAGTCCACCCCGGCGGGGAAAGGAAGAAGCGGCGTGACCCGAATGGGCTTGCGATTTTTTATCACAATAAAATTCCGGAAATGCTGGGACTGACTATATGAAAGACGGGAAGGGAAAAAAAAAGTCGGATCGGAGTACCCCCCCCCCCCCCCCCCCCCCCCCCCCCCCGATGCATCGATACACTATCGATAGTCTAGGTCGATGCATCGATGGTTTGAAAACGGCTATCGTGACAGCCCTACTTACTTGAACCACTAGAGCTCTAAAAAAAAATGTGAAAAGTCCCTTAATTGCACATGTACAGGTATTGAATACAATTCTGCAAGACCCTCATATGCCTAACCTTCGCCCTTACCACCCTTGTTTTCCTTCCGCTAGCAGGTAACTGTTCGCTGATTTGGGTTACCTATTGTTTAGAGGGGTTGCAATGAGGTATGGAACACGAACAAATGAATGTTTTTAATAATTAATCTCTTAAGTCCAGTAGTTGGACTTACGAACTCTGAATTGAATGAAAAAAAGAACTCTGACGTCGGCTACCAGTAAGAGAAGGCAACACGGTAGAGCCACAATGTAACTATTAGATCGAGACTACAATTTGTAATGAATAGGGATAGGATTTTCATGCCCAAAAACCTCCAATTTATTCTCTTGTTTTATTCTGCAACAAATATTTTGCGTATAACAGATCCCTAAACCAACCCCTGTTTGTACTATTTGTTCCAGACTGAGACCTTTCTTCTACGGAGGCTGTTTGAATGATCAAAGCTTTATCATTAAGCATCAATCGGAAAATAAGCTCGCGTGATCAAAAACACCCAAAGATATCTAGATACACTCATCTTCCTGTTGAATGTGTTGGGTATATTCCATATCACCCAAAATATGTTTTAACATGTCCTATAAAATGTTGCACTATACCTGAGAAAAGGTACTATCATCTCACCATTTTTTTGAGAAAAGAAGTAGGAAAAATGTCAGAACATATGAATCGAGCCCCTAACAGTGATGCTCGTAAATTATTTCCTTTTTTCCTTTCTCTCTGTTAGTTTTGAGATCATAGCGTAATGATTTTGTGAATAAAAGCTTTTGAAGTGACGCGCTGAAAATGGGATGCCTTGTAATTCTAATTCTAATAATAATAATAAGTCATCATTCATCGCAGCAGCTCTGTATACGGCAGGAATAGTTCCAGATGAAAACTCAAACTGACCTTTCTCTGCCTTGGCTTGGAAGTGGAAGACTCATTGCCATCATTTTGAAGGCTCGGCACTGGGATATAAATATCCTTGCAGTCATCATTTGACATGGGCAACGTCTCCATGCTGTCTGATAGTGTTCTGGTGAGAAACATATTGTCAAAGCTGCTCACCGACAGCTGACCCTGGTCCTTGTACCTCCCGTGATACTGCTCATCCAGAAACACAAGCACTTAGAATGCTAAAATTCCAAATTTGGAGGAGATATTTATCTATTCTTCAAGTTGCAACTTCAAAAAGATTCTATTAGGCATGGTTAAGTTATAGCAATTGGCACGCAGCCCAGTTACACATAACAGTAAGGGCCTTCTCATGGCGGAATTTCAGTCTTCCCTTGACAGGTTGGCCGCCATGAGGCACACCTGTGCGCCTCACCCCTTTTCCTTTGTTGTGCCTCAGGCTTCACCAGTGCGCCTCAGTGCTGCAGAGGTTTTGTGAGGTCGTGGCCCAGGAAAGTGGACAATGTTCGTGGGCTGAACTTTCCTCAGTTACATTTACCCTTACTGGGGGTTATGAAAATAAATGTAGTGAGGCCTACCGGCCCGCCTCATGGCGCAGGGAAGTCAGCTTCTTGGTCAAGATAATGGGTTCTTTATGAATAAAAGCTGATAGATAATGGGACCTCATCCGAGTGTCAAACAGAAAAGATTACAGTACAGCAATTATTAATTACAGTAAGTACAGATTAAAATAAAGCAGTTATCTTGGTCGTGCGCATCATGTCATCACCCGTGCGCATCACCCATCCCGTTTGAGGCACAATACTGAATTTGGATTCATTATTCCGTACAGTTCTGGCGGCACTCCCTTACTGCTGGTACGTTCTGAATAATAACCTCCTGTATTTCAAGAACCAGCGAATGGATATTGTTATAACTTTGCACGCATGTGCTCATTTGATGCATTAGTCATCCCACAAAGGCGTACAGCGCTAGCCCGAAACAATTACGAGTGGCTAAAATTTGAAAAAGGTTCCACCATTTTTTGGGACAGTGTACAATCCGGGAAGTACTCCAACACGTGACATCACAGACAGCTGCGAAACGGGCAATGTCAGAGGCGCGCGCGAAATTCTTTTCAAACGAGATGAACTTACTGGATGACCCCATGGTGTGATAAAACTTGTGAGGCCCACCGGTGGCCCTCGCAGTGTGGTAATCCTAATTGCATTCCACACTCTATGAGGCACACCGGTGCGCCTCACTAAAAAGTCTGCAAAAGGCCACTTAAATTTGCAAATAGCACGAGATGATCAAAGTACATTGTTAAGGAGTCTCCTAGGGATATAAAAATAACTCTGGCGTAGGAAAGTCACCAGGTCAATAAGGCCTTTGCGGTCAACCTGTTAATGACTACTTTTTTGCATCATCATTTTCGTCATCGTGATGGCCTTTTCCGGAAATGCGTTTCCCTAAAGAATCAGAATTGGATTGAAAGCGAGAGCTAAAAGAGCAAATGAAACGCAAAAACTTTCCCTTTGAGACATTTTTAAAACTCTATTCTGCAATTCTTATGAGAGAAAGATTGTCAATCAACTCAATTTGTTAATTCGTAAAAATTTTTATTTTATGAATGTGGTTTGGCAATCCTGATGACAAAGAGTACTCAAGTCAGGGATAATCCACGCTACATGGTAAATATAAAATGTTCCATCCCATTTCATATGCTAATAGTGTTAACATTATTTCAGACTCAAACAAGAAAATTAGGATTAGATGGCAAAAGGAAAACAGCCAAAGGTTGAATCGAACAGAGCATGAAGGAATTCTGAGGGGAATGTATTGTGCCTCATAGGTTGATTTCATACGAAACAATCACTATAGCGACTTTTAAAGTAACAATTCGCATGTCTTCTTCAAATTCCTCTAACGTGAAGTATAGTCGGCCTAAAGCTATCTGAAGCGTTAAACGCTTTAGAAAGCGTCATCAACAGACTGCTTGATAGATGAATGGGACTGAATCGAACTCACGCCAGAGTGGGGGACATCCAGGTTTCCTTCAGACTTAGTGCGGGTCTTTCTGCTATTTGACTGGGAACGATTCGCCTTGGGGCTGAGTCCGTACCACAGAATGTGCTTGCTCGTCGACTTTTTCAGCGGCACTGGGGCTTGCCTGCACATCACGCATCAAGAATGATCACTCGCTCACAATACATCACTCACTCATAGAAGGGAATCTGTAATATTATCATATTGTGAGTTCAGGATATGAAAAGTGAGTGAGGAGAGTCACGAGTTGACGTGAAAAGATTCCTCATGAGCTATTTCGTAAGCTCTTGTAAATGAGCTACGATTTGTCTCACCCTGGGAATGCTTGTACTTTATTATGGAATTCGTCTTCCCTCCATAATGAAAATAAAAGCAGACCTGGAACAATCGTTAATGCATAAAAATTAACAACTGGAAACAGTGGAACGGTAACGAACGGCTTTAGCAGCCACATGGATATGGTCATGAGAAACGCTCTTCAACTTAAAGGCCAGTGAGAAGTAACCATTTTTGCGCATGTACCTAAAAATTCAGCCTTGTTGCTTAGGGTAATGACATCTGCTATCGGCATGCATGTGGGTGTGTGCCAAGTTTCGTGACAAACGGATGGTTTCCGCTGTAATGAGTAAGATCCTCTCCAGGAGATAGGATACATTTCCAGGTGTTTCTGAATCAGGCCTGTAATCCCACCCGATTTAAGTTTCAATGTCCTATCAGGGATCACGAGGGACCAAGTTCCATAGTAACACGACTCATTCTCATGATTCTAACAAAAAAATCATTTTTTAGGTATATTCCCTCAGGGCATATAATTTGTGAGGCGAGAATTTCTCTGAATTTTTTAACCTGAAATTCTGTAAACACGTAGTTCTAAGAAAGATGACTTCTAGGAAAGCCCAACTTTTGGGATCATTCCCCCGGGACACAAATTTTTGCGAGGACATTTGATAACTTTTCCGCTGTAACGAATCAGATAGCTGTGGAAAACTGAAACAGGGTATAGAAATATCTCTCTTTGGGGTAAATATTTTTTTCAGAGCAGTTAGCCATATGTTTTTTTCAACGCGGGGAAATGTTTACATTTTCAAATTCTGAAAGTAAATTTTTTTCAGAAAATTGGGTTCAGGGCAAATCACAAGATTGGGGTCCTGCCACCCTTGAGGTCCATTTTAGGGGTGGAAGAATGGATCAACTTCCACATTTTTTCTTCAAGGAAAACTGATCTTACAGTTTTTCTATATGAGGCGCTGTATAAGGGAAAGACTCAAAGAAGACATTTCAAGGAAAACAAAAAGTCTTCGCTTATTTCATGTTGCTAACATCAGGCTGGGAATGACTTTACACAGATAGAAGTAATGTAAAGTTACAATGAAAAATGCTTATGACCATGGGAATTTTAGCACATTGGTAGGCGTGAGAATCGAAAACGGATGCTTCAAACGCACTATAAACTTTCTTAGCGAGTAAAGCGCCGAAGGCTCGTGAAGTTAGTATATAAATACAGATCTAGCAGGACATACCCTCTGCGATAGATGATGTTGGCAAAAGCGAATTCGACGAGGGTAAGGAAGATGAAGGAGATGCAGACAAAGAACCAGATTTCAACGGCCCTCAAATATGACAGTTTAGGCAGTTCATCGCCTATATTCCTTGACAGGGTGATAAACGTCAGCATCGTACACGTACCTGTTCCAAGGTAAAATAAATAAAGAAAGATGAAGATGGCTCTTTCTCCTGCAGATGTCAAACGAAGCATTGATATTTATTTTTGTTCCAGACCGACCGAGTCCAACGCGGGCAGGAGAAGCACTGGGATCCAACCAGAAGTTGACCCAAGACACGACGATCAGAAATATGGAAGGCAAATAATAATCCAGGATGTAATGCCCGGGGTCCCTCTTGATCGTGAATCTCACTATGATGGCACTAAAGTTTTTTCCTGTCATGAGAACAATTTCTCTCTATGAAAGTTGACTCGATAAAATTTGAATACATATCGTACTTTATTCTGAATGCAAAGCACTTTTTGATTTTAGTATCATGAGTTTTTAAATCTGAAAAAGGTATCATTACGTATTTGCATTTCAAAGCATCATCACCATTATGAAGAGGATTAATTTCGTGATTTTCCATTTGATGTCTTTAAACTGCATCATGGATATAAATTAGGGCTTAAGGCTTCCAGAGATAGAAAGAAAAGCGAGGATTAAAGTAATTTCTACCAGTGACGTAATGGATATCCTCAAGCTCTGTATCAAAGCATTCGTGGTTGATGAGGGTTTGTTCGGAGAAGGAGAAATCCTCCCGGTTGATGCAATCCTTGGGATTCTCCCATTTCAGTCTCGCCTGGGGGAGAGGAATGTCCCACGATGCCAATGTCATGTCACAAGTCTGCTCGTCGAACGGAAATTTCTCCAGGTCCATCGCGCAAGAAAACTTCACCTTCGCTCTGTGGACATTCGCCAAGAAAAAAAGGAAGGAAAGTTATTCATCTTTGCAAAAGAACACGATATATTTAGTAGATAGTGATGCTATTCATTCAAATTGATGAAAGTAATTTATTGTGTATTCAATAAGTTTAATAAGTTGTCTTAAGACCGTTTCACACTTCGTGACTTCGTGTTTCCCGTGTGTCATGCGTTCATATGGATGAATACGTGCGTTCGCACACAAGCTTGTAAGCTTTCAAAGGGAATGCACACGATTCAGAACGCATTCATACGCAAGTGATTAGGTGGAATCGCAATTATGAACGATGGAAAACTGATAGCATGTTGGCGTTCAGAATTGGACGGAACCAAATTCAAAAGTAAGCCTTGCGTTTACTAATCAGATTCGAATGCTTGTGGGGATGCGTGCCCACAAGTGTTTGTCCGCATTCGAATGTAAACGGACGCGCACAAATATGCATGTTGTTTGTTACGTCAAACGCGTTGTCTACTGTCATTTTCGCTATCATTATTGTTCGTCGTCTGGTTCGTTCGATGAATCGACTTTTCACGATGACTTGCAAATCCGCACGGCACTAGAAAAATTGGATCTAACTCGCCTGTAGGTTAGTGTGACAGTGCCATTCATGAAGATGGCCACGAAGACGTTCCTCCTGCTGAGGTGGAAGATACCCGAGTCCTTTTCGTTCACGAAATAGAGAGTCGGGGACCAGATGAGGTCGTAGAGCCATTCGCTCCCTGATATATATTCCCGCTTGAGGAGCCCCGACACGTTGCCTTTCATGAAATTCAGTCTCTGGTCTTCCCATACGTGTCGAAGCAGGAGGTACACCGAGAAATCCTAATTCGTCCAAGGGGATACCAATGCCAAATGATCATGAGGCCATCCACTCTGAGCCACAGGAATGGTACACAATGAAGTTGCAGTGTTTTCGAGAAAGATACATTCCGAAAAGCTCATCTAGGTGACACAAAGTTTCCCCTTTGCCCCATTATCCGAAGGGCCTATTCATAACAGCACACAGAAAATTCAGTGCCTCAGTTCGATGCATTTTTCTCGCGAAAAAATCTGTCCTCCATGTGATGCGTCTTTATCGCATCGAATTTTGGATGCGATGAAAACGCATCACATGGAGGACAAATTTTGGATGCGATAAAAACGCATCACATGGAGGACAACTTTTTTCTCTACCAAATTGCATTAATTTGATTCTGTGTGCATAGAACGATCGCCCACCTCCTATGGGGCACTTCTATTTTCCTCAACGAAGCAGCTGTCACTACTTCAATCGCATATCATTTTAACAATAAAATATAAACATGCATAACACTCAATACGAATGGTGGTGTCGGGCACAGAGTTTAAAGCAAAATCATCGATGAAACTGAAATATAACATTGGGCATCCATGGCGATGAAGTGCTAGGCCGGACCTTCAAAGGGTTCAGGAAATACGTAGTTTTCAGATTGAATTCGTACCCAGTGGCTGTATTTTGGTTGAAGAGTCAGGGGGCCAGGGCAGGAAAGTGGGGGTGCCCAACCCCATCCGAGCGATATCAGCGATATCATATTAATGTTTTTCACTTGAGTCAGGCACTGTTTCAATTGACTTCGGCACTCATGCATGAGGAACGTCCCATGCACGTGTGTCCGAATCAAGGGAAAAATTGTCTAACTCAAGTGAAAACATTGTCGCCAAGGAGGCGCCAAGCTCTGTCTCATGGGTGCCCCGCCCTCGCCCCCCCCCC